TAGAAGTAGCACGTACCATTTCTGCTTGGATTTCACTGATTATTAGTCTTATAGCACAATCCAGATGCAAATACAACTTGGAAATGTCTTTTCTGGGTGTTGTGTGCATAGTCGAAAACCAGGGATATGATCAATAGTGTAGTCCAGTGCAGGAGCTCTTAATCTGAGGCTCATCTCTGGTTCTCAGGTAGGTCCATAAATGTGGATGAAAAGATAACTTTTTTGTTTCACTAATTTCTAACTTACCTTTAACTTTCCTTCTGTTATAAAGTGTAGTGTCACAGTGTCATAAGCACAATCTGTGACTGTCACCAATGGAAATTCATATCTCATTTCATGTGTTGTGTGTATCCTGTTCTCTAGTGTTGGTTATGTTCACCTCTTCCAGAACTGTAATGGTCAGTCAGACCTGTTCCAAGTACTTTACCCAGAGCCTGGAGCACAGCAAGCACTGTGGGAAGAATTTGCCATTATTTTCTGGTCATCACGGAAGAAGGGAGGAGGGACATTGGTGGACACCTGGCCAGCCCTTACCTTGTTCCCTTTTTGATAACTGGGGCCGGAGGTGGGTTGGGGGAGGGTACAGAGAACACAGGATGCTGCCAACAGGGCGAAGGACCACAGTTGCCATTATTAATCTAGCCCTGGAGCTAGGAGGTTCCTTGGAGTATGTCATTTTGAATTCACAGTAACTTTCTGAGCTTAGGTATTATCATCTGTTGAGATGAAAAATTGAGCTCAGATGGCTGCAGAGATTGCCCAAGATCCAATCTTAGTCTTGAACCTAGGTGGTATGGCTTGGAAATACTACCCCATGCTGTCTTTCTCCAATATCCACAGTGCCATCTGCCTCAAGTGGACATTGTTGATGAAATCAAAACTAGAATGTCTAAGTATACCTGTACACTGTGGGAGAGAAGAACTGATTCCCAGGAACCCAGATCTTGGGCATCTTTCCTCAAGGAGATTGTGATGTTGAGATTGAGTCAGACTGCCTGGGTTCTGCTGGTGGTTCCACTGGTTTACAGCAGGTGACTCCTTCACCTCTGCATCCTCACCTGTTAAATGCGGATTCTAGAAACATGGCCTTAGAGCACAGTTGTGGAGATTAAGTGTGTTAATTAGCTATGCTGAGCATTTGGAAGCATACAGGAAATGATCAGTGTATGTTACTTGCTATTGTTACTGGCATTATGATTGTGATTGTTATTGTGATTTTTTGCTGCCACCATCGGTTGTCATCAGGCTGCTGCTTACCTGTTGTGGCCCTGATCCAGGTGTGCATTTCCCCATAGCCCAGCTCAGAAAAGAACAAAGATATAACCTGATGACAAAGGAAAGAAAACAGGCAACTAGGTCAGCACTCCACACAGTATTTTCTTAGGAAAATTTCAAACATGAGAACGTTAAGACTAGTACAAGGGTCTGCCAGACATAGCCTATGGGCCAGATTCAGCCACTACCTGCTTTTACAAATAAGTTTTGTTGGAACCCAGCTGTGCTGGTTTATTTATATAACGTCTGTTCCTGTGGCTGCTGTTGTATAGGGAGGGCACAATTAAATGATTGGGTGAAGAGTGGCGTGGTCTGCAAAGCTGAGAACATTTGCTGGCAATTAATAGAACAAGGTTCTCTGGTCTTGTACAGTGAGTGAGAGGCACCAAGATACTTACCATCCACACTCGGTGATTGCCATATTTGGCTTTTTTTTTTTCCATAGGCCTATCTCTGCACATATTATTATTTTTTTTGACTGAAAATAAGTTTAGAGTCTTATAGTACTTCATTCTGTTTTTATTGCCAAAATGAGTTTTTGGGCCCAGTGATATAGGAAAAAAATTGGAGTGTACATTTTTCTTTTCTTTTCTTTCTTTCTTTTTTTTTGTAAGACAAGATCTTGCTCACTTGGCCCTGACTTGCTTCAAATTCACAGTCCTCCTGCCTCAGCATCTCCAGTGCTGAGATTACAGGTGTGCACCACCATGCCCAGCTGCATTTTTCACCATAGTGTTTCATAAGATCCTTATCATTGTCAGTGATCCCAAAGAGATGCTTAAACACCTTGACTGGAGAACCCTACATGTGAAGGACTGCAGTCACTTTCAGACTGTTTCCAACTTGCGTGAGGCCCTGGAAAAGGACAGGCAGAGGAAGTGTTAGAATCTCAAGCCGAGATACAAGACACTGAGGCAGTTTAGCAGGAAGCAGCGTTTTATTGTACCAGCACAGCAGGCTGTGTCCAAAGGCCGAGCCCCAAGAACAAAGGTGTCTCATCTTATGTACCCTTCCAAGCAGGTTACAGAAGTAAAAATTAAAGCTCAACCCACATACGGCTGCATATGACTTTATTGGCTATTTCATTCCCCCAGTGACCTTTTTTATGTTTTGATTTTTTAAGTTTTATCTCTCTGCTTTGTCATCCTTTCCCCCTGCCTTACCCTCTCACAGTTCTGGAGTCCCGGGCTGGCTCTCAGAGGCTGTAAGGGAGATCTGTTTCATCAGAATGCAGCCTGTTTCTCTTTTGGTCCTTTTTCCTGTTACAGAAGCTTGCTTTCTTGTTCTGCCACTCCTTTCAGAAAAAGGATTCCAGTGTACGCCTGTCAGGGCCCAGTCACTCTCACAGCATGGTGTCATTACATTCTTGGGGCAGCCCAGAGCTAGGTAGGAGACACACCTTGTAGATATGAGGAAACATGGGGAGGGTTTTGCAGTCAGCCTGCAATCAGAGCAGCTGGACTTGGACCCTTGCCCTCTCAGGGCTGGCCTATGCGGGTGTCCATCTCTCTGAGCCTCAGTTTCTATAGGGTAGAGAGGTATCAGTGGTACTTTCCTGAAGTAAACACTTCAAACTACCCATGGTAATCAAATGTATTTGTTCTCTAGTGATGCTGGGACAAATACCCATAAATAAACCAGGTGCCTTAAAACAGTAATCTTACCCTCTCACAGTTCTGGAGTCCCGGGCTGGCTCTCAGAGGCTGTAGGGAGATCTGTTTCATGCATTTCTCTTCTTCCTGCCAGCAATTCATGGTGTTCTTTGGCGCATGGATGTATCACCCCAGCCTTTCCCCCGTCTTCATGTTGCTGTGCTTTCTGTGTAGCTCTGTGTGTTCTCTGTTTCTTTTACTTAATCAAGACACTGTCGTTGGATGTAGGACCAGCCCTCAATTCAGGATGATGTCATATTGGAATGTCTGATTAAACACCTCGCAAAGGTGCTGCTTTCACATTCACAAGTACTGGGGTTTAGGTTGGGGATTTATATCTTACAGGCTGAGTGTTGGAAAAGCAAACTGTCAGATTTTCCTCTGCTCTCATACCATAGTTGACAGAATATTCTGTGATTCTGTGAGGTGTGAGGATTTCTCTCTGTTAGCAAGCAAGCAGTCAGTTCTGCAGCAGTGGATACCAACTGGGCATCCTCTAATCCAGTTCAGTTCAGATGCTGTCTACCTGGAAATAGCTTCACCACCATTATCCCCCAAATCCTCAACTTCAGAGGCCAGTTGCATGCCCCAGGTTGTTGCACCCATGCTCTCGACCAGTTGGCTATAAGTGAAGGTTCCCATGCACCCGCCACTTGGGGGTGATTAGTTTGCTCAAAGTACTCATAGAACTTAGGGAAATGCTTATATTTACTGGTCTATCACAGGATATTGCAACGAATACAGATGAAAGGATGCATAGGGCAAGGCATAGGAGAAAGGGCATGGAACTTCCATGCCCTCCCTGGGTACTGTGCCCTCTAGGAACTGGAACATTTTCAGCTATCTAGAATGTCTTCAAACCCTGACCTTTTGGTTTTGTTTGTTTTGGTTTTGTGGTTATACTGGGGTTTGAACTCAGAACCCTGTGCTTGCTAGGCAGGCACTCTGTCTCTTGAGCCACTCCACCACCCCTCCTTTTGCTTTTTTTATGCAGACTTTATTACATGGGCAGAGCAGGGACATCTGTGTCGAAATGTGATTAGAGAGGGTGTGACCTAGTGCCGCTAGTGAGTAAGGAGACTTAGCAAGGCCTGTCTGCTTCAGCAGTTGTCTTGGCCTCTGTGCAGCATTTGTCCCTCCAGGGTATGGGACAGGACCAATTCTGAAATGGGGTTTTACTTACTATCAGATGTCTGTCAAAGAATTTCACTATGGCAGCTCCAAGACAGAAAGGATGGGAAGATTAGAGTTTCTTTGACCTGCCTCAGGGAAGAGAGATTCTAGTTTCTGGGGCCTGCATTGTGGAGGGAGTTACAAGCCAGAAACCCTGGATGAAAACCAAAAGATGCATATAATAATATCATGCGTCACTATTTAACCCATTATACTTCCGCTAATGCTGCTCTTGTATTTTTGTTGTTGTTTGAAACATCAAAACATGTAGCTCAGGCTGCCTCAGCCTCCCAGGTGCTGGGATTACATGTGTGCACTACCACACCTGGCTTCTTTGTTTTCATTGTAATGTTCGGTTATCATTTCTTTTTTTCATCATCGTTACCACCAGTGATTTAAGTGCCTACTCCAGATCATCTTAACTCTGTGACCTTGTGAAGGTACTTTAGCTCCTTAAGTGTGTTTTCCTCTGTGAAACAGGACTGAGAATAGCTCTGACATCATAGGATTGTTTCCCAGAGCAAGCATGCTATAGATGTGGCTGCTGCTGTTAAGCATAGTGTGTAGGATATTAGTTGGTGCTCAGTGCAAGAGGGGATAAGGCAGTGGAGGGGTCGTTGGGAAGTGGGGTACAATCTTAGAGTGAATCTGGAAAGTGCAACTGAGTAGGTGTTGGGCTCTGACTTTTGTTGCTGCTGCTGCTGCTACCATTGTTTTTATTTAAAGGTTCATTCAGGATAACAGAATCTTTTGGTCAGTATTTACCAAGGTACCACTGAGCATCTTCAAGTAGAGGTAGCAGGCCTTCCAGAGGCTGACTTGACTGGTTCCAGAGCTGCCAGACTCCCTTGAGATTGGGATTACTGATAGTCTCCTCTCCTTTTCTTGTTCTCTCATTAGCTTCGCCTCAATAGCATCAAGAAGCTGTCCACCATTGCCTTGGCCCTTGGGGTTGAAAGGACCCGAAGCGAGCTCCTGCCCTTCCTTACAGGTAAGGACTCCTGGAGCTCAGAGGCAGTGGGGATGATTCGGGGGTAGTAGCTCTTGCTAGGTAAGAGAGAAGCCTCATGGTGGATTTGACATCTTGTGTCTGCGCTGTGCTGCTGTGGAGTGGCCGGGAGGGATCCAGAGGAGGCCAAGTACAGTCCTGCTTTGGGAGTATGGTCTGGATGATGGCGGCAGGCACTGGTGAAAAGGGTGTGAAGGCAGATAGAACCCAGTTTCTTCAGCTTTTCCCATCTCCACCTAGATTCCTTTTCAGTGTGACCCAGTGACATGTAACCTGTGAGGAAGCTCCATTGGGCATGGTCCTGGGAGGGCTTCACACCTAGGTAGAGGTTGGAGATGGGGGTGTGGGCCTTAGCTGTTAGTGCTGTCATCTGGGCCACATCTGGATGCACTGTCAGTTCTGTAAATGTAGGTAAAAGAAGCTGTGCTTGAAAGTCACCTGCTAAATTCTGGGAAAAATAAAGAGACCTACAAGGGTAAATATGTCTTCCTAATATTACACTGCATTTGTAGGTAGTAAAGTAAGTTGGTGAGCTGGACACAGTGCTGCATGCCTATAATCTCAGCCTTCAAGAGGTTGAGGCTGAGGCAAGAGGATCGGACCCACGCTGGACGAGATAATAATTTCAAGGCCAGCATTGGCTACATAGTGAGACCCTGTCACAAAAACAAAAACTGAATGCTGTTTGAATTGCAACTCCAGCTGTTACCTAGTGACGTTAGACAGGTTTCTTTACTTCATTGTTCCTTACGTTTTCATCTATAAAATGCAGGCTAATCATCCTGGACTATATTGCCAATGTGAGCATGAGAGATTATTAACAACTACTATCACTTACCACATGCTCACTTTGTGCTAGATGGCATCTCAGCCACTTTTTGGGAGATTTAGTTAGTTCACGTAGGAAATACATGCATTCACCAAGGTCAGTCTCACACCCCTTTAGGCAGGTAATACTATGGCTCCCGTTTGGTGAATGAGGAAACTCAGGCATTGACAGGTGAAGTAATTCATTTGCTTAAGGTCATACTGTTAGGAGGCAAAGCAGGTGTACTTACGTAGTCATTCTGGCCCCAAACTCACAGTGTTGGTTAATAGAACAGACTTGGGAACTGACTCCCTGATTTCAAGTCCAAGCTCTCCCACATTCCAGGTGTGTGAGTTTGGGCAAGGTATTTCTGTCTGCCTCCTGGTCTCCAGGTGTAAAATGGGCATAATAATATAAGCAAACCTGAAGAAAATTAAGTAAGGCTCCTGTAAGGAGCTTGTGACAGGGACTAGTATGTAGTGAGTGCTGCTTGGGCTACCTGTAAGCCTGTAAGCAAGTCTGCTGTCTGTGAAGATGAAGTTGTATGTGAAGCACTCAGTGCCAGGCTGTGCCAGCCTGGCCACCAGCTCATAATCTGTTATCACTAGTCTTATTTCTCCTCACACTTCACACTTAATATGCGTTAAAATCGTAACTGAAGGTTTAAAGGGCTTTGTCACTGATGAAGGTCTTTCATATCAGACAGATCATCTCCCATGGACCTAGGGATGATCCTCAGAAGGGAGGAGCCCAAGGCTTTTACCCTTCCCCTATACTTCGAGAACTGAGGACTAAAGGGATTCAGTGACTTCCCCATAGCAACACAGCTAGTGACCCGGGGGCATGTGTGTGACTCCGAACACCACCTTAGGAGAAGATGTTTTCATATGTGATGCTGGGCTGATGGTTCCAAGCAAGTGAGTTCCATAGTAAACTGCTGTGAGGTACGTGAAGACTTTAGAATACTGAGACAGGGACATCTTCTGGGGTAAGGGGAGGTAGTAACATGACAGGATAGTAACATGGTTAAAAAGTTATGGGGAAAAAAGCTGGAGGAACCTGGGTTTCAAACAAGCAGCTGTGTGGGGAGCTTGCTCCGCATCTTGGCTTCAGTTCACTTCTCTGTAGTGGGATCTATGAGGACTCCCTAACTCAGGGTTGTTGGGAGGGTGAGGTGTTCACACAGGCTGCTCTGTAGGAAGCACTCAGGAGGTGCTATGGACGATTCTGTAGGAGGTGGCGGGAAAGCAGCTGGTGAGGGTGACCAGCATGAGTAACTAGTGAATGTAGGCAGGGCTGACCCTGGTGATTGACCAGGATGGAAGGACACAGGGGAGTCTTGGGGAGGGTAGGTGACAGTGAGTTGGATTTTGCTGGTCTTAAGTACCAGATGGAGTAATTGAGGCTTTATCCTGTAGATGAGTGTTACCATTGTAGAGAGATGACAAATTTGTGTTGAGGGGCGGGCTGAGAAGGAGAAGGGTTGAGGCAGGAAGTCTACAGGGGAGACAGTGGCTAAGAGCAGAGACCCTGGGGTCAGAGCTGCCCAGGTTCAGTCCTGCCTCCTTGGCAAGGTGGCAATAACTACTTAATACATGTTGGATCATTGAGTTTAATACATAAGTATGGTCTGTTATTGTAGAATCACATCACTAATCCAGATGGGAAGAATTGTGGGAGCTGGAATAGTGTGGGAGCTGTAAGATTGAAGAGGAACTGATGATTCAGAGAAGTTTTCTCTGAACTGTTGGAGTCCCAAGTCATTCTGCTCTGGGCTTCCAGACATTGGAGAAAGGTCAGAATGACATGTGGCAGGTACACTGTGTCTTTCAGAAAAGGTGATACTGTTCAGAAAGAACAAGCCCTCTGAGCTCACACCTAGAGAACATTCAACATTGGTTTTATGAGGGGAAAATTGCCATATTGTATTAGTTTGTTAGGGACAAAATACCACTGACTGTCTTAAACAACAGAAATTTATTTTTGTAGTCCTAGAGGCTGGAAGTCTAAGATTTAGGTGTTAACACACTTGGACTTGGTTTGTCCTGGGGCTATTCTCCTTGGCTTGCCTGAGGCGCGACCAAGGTCAAAGAGGTTTAAATGCTGGTGAATGCCAGTGACTCAGCCTATTTTGTCAGAGAGCAGCAGTTCCTTTGCCTCTGTGAGGAGAGGCAGCAACTTGAGAGGTACATGAGTGGAGCAGTTTTCCTGGCACTCATTTATTCTTTCAGCAAACTGAACTGAGCTCCTGCTGTGCTGGTCTGTGGCAGGAACTGGGGCACACAGGCTGGTCCTGGGTGCAGGTGATGGTAGCCTGTGATAAGGACACTGGTAAATGGGGAGTGAGACGAGGGAAGGGGACATCCTGGAAATCCTCCTGGAAGCAGTAGCTAAACCAAGTCTGAAAAGATAGAAGGGAATTTCCTGGCAGAGAGAACAGTGCTGAGGGTAGAAGCTCTACCTAGACAAGAAAGCCCCCATTTACCACAGCACTGCTCACATGGTCTTCCTTGCTCCTCGGTGAAAGGGAGCAGTGATGAACACCACTCTCAGGAGCAGAAACAGGTGCAGAGTGGCAGTGTCACTCACCCAGCTTTCCATACTTCCTGAAGGCAGAAGCAGGAGTGGGGCTCTATTGGTCCACCCAAGCCTGTGTCTCCATTTCTGTACCCGGCAGGGAGAGGCGGTGGTTGTTGGAGGTGCTGACAGCACAGAAGCAGAATGGAGCCTGCCTGCTCTAAGCTTGGGTTACTGAGGGCCTAGGGTCAGGTTTAGGGTAGGATTATAACAGAGTCTGTGTTGGTCCCATAGACACCATCTATGATGAAGATGAGGTTCTGTTGGCCCTGGCGGAACAACTGGGAACATTCACTGGTCTGGTGGGAGGCCCAGAGTATGTACACTGCCTGCTGGTGAGTCTGTAAGCACGGAAGTTCTCTTGCCTCTCCTTTTGGGTCAGATCTGTGGTTTTTGCCTGTTGGGGACAGAAGGGTGGATTTGAGGGAGGCTGGCATCACCTCAGAATGGACATCACTGTAATCCTGCAAGTCAGTAGAGGCATTTAACACAGTATAGTAGACATCATCTATGATGTTTACTTACTAGTGCCAGGCCCAGCTGTGAGTGTGGAGTCAGGCTAGGTTCTACCACTCACTTGTGTGACTGTTGATACTTAACCTCTCTGTGTCCCCTCTATAAAAATGGAAGCCTTTGAAGCCCACCTTTCTAACTGACTTACGAATCCTGCAGCATAGCACTTGGCACGTAGTACTAATAGCTGTGTGCTGAGATTGCCATTGTTGTGTGATATGTGTCCTCCTGTTGGGATAGGGAGAGTCTCTTGATAGATAAACCACCTAGAGCATAGGAGGTTGAGCATTAACGTCAAGGTCGCAGGGCTAGTAAGTGGCAGAGCTCTACATTCTGGGCCATCCCACGGCCCAGACTTTCTACCAGTCCCCATCACACTACTAGTTTGTGCTTCCCTGTGTTGGATGACAACTGGAAACATAGAGAGGGTTAGATACTAATAGGACCTGCTGTTGGGAGAAGACGGACAGCCAAATGGCCTGGATTTAGATCTTTGCTTAGCTGTCACCAACTTGGATAAGTTACTTAGTCTGTGACTCAGATTCCTACAGTGAGGGCAGTTCTTTAAAATGCTGCTTCACAATGAGCACCCCAGAGCTGAGGACATCGTGATCCTGCTTCAGATATAGTAAATAAGTGTTCTAGTCAGTGTTATTATAATTATTGCACTTGAGCACTAAGGACAGGTGCGGCCCTCTCCTCAGAAAGTAGTATGATTTCATGGACCCCAGTGAAGTTCTTTCAAGGACCCCTCAGTAAGGATCTTCATGGGATGCTGGCTTTGTGAAGGGTGGGGTGGTATGATCAAAGTAGATGAGCCCACACATGGACATGAGGTGGGGCTCCAGCACTGAGGTAGTGGGGAGGGAGCTGTCTGGTGAACTCATGTTCTCACCACAGCCACCCTTGGAGTCACTGGCCACAGTGGAGGAAACAGTGGTGCGGGACAAAGCTGTGGAGTCCTTGCGGGCCATCTCGCATGAGCACTCACCATCAGACCTGGAGGCCCACTTCGTGCCACTGGTGAAGCGTCTGGCGGGTGGCGACTGGTTCACCTCCCGCACCTCTGCCTGCGGCCTCTTCTCTGTCTGCTACCCCCGAGTGTCCAGTGCTGTGAAGGCAGAACTTCGACAGTGAGTCTCTCTGCCTCCTTGGCAGCCAGTCCCCCCCATCATTGTGGTCCCCTTCCCTGAAATCTCAGTAAGTCTACCCAGGACTCTACTGTCCTTGAGATCTCCCATGTTATTGGCTTCTTTTCAATCATGAACTTCTAGGTAAACTTACCTGCTTTGCTTCAGTGAGAGTTCCTTCCTCCCATTGATTATTGTGAGGATTAAAAGAACTGTCACATGTAGAGTGCTTAGAACAGAATCTGGCTCATAAAACACTCAACAAAGCGATGTCTCATGTTTACTCAGGCCTGCTCCAGGTCTAGGTTGCTCAAGACATGTACCTGTCAATTATTGGTGCCTTGTCTGTTCCTTAGTCTTGAGTATCAAGCCCAGGCCCTGAGCTGGGTTATAGTCGTACACACATGCTTAGTCTGTGCCAGTCCCCAGGCATCTCTAACTGAGATAATTGCTGCTGAAAAGTGAGACACTTTGGTGGCATTGCAGTTGACTGTTTTATGTGGTCGTAATAATGTTATGTCATCAGCATCTATGGTTGCTCGTAGACTTAGGTTTGCAGAGAAGCTGCTAAGTATTTCACCCGAATTTTCTTATTTAAACCTCACGTCGACCCTGTGGGGTATATGTTATGCCATCAGTTCCAGTTTATGGGGCTGAAAGACGAAAGGGGGGTCATCACTTAGACAAAGTCACCCGCCAGCACCAATACCTGAGTTACCACAGTGTGTGGCGCTCTCCACCATGCTGCCTCAGAATCCCCAGGGTTCCTCTTCAGCCCCATCCTCAACCCCTAGGTACTTCCGGAACCTGTGCTCAGATGACACCCCCATGGTGCGGCGGGCCGCAGCCTCCAAGCTGGGGGAGTTTGCCAAGGTGCTGGAGCTGGACAATGTCAAGAGTGAGATCATCCCCATGTTCTCCAACCTGGCCTCTGATGAGCAGGTGGGTTCACTCCCCAGACCCCTCCACCATGCCCTTCCTCTTGTGGACCCTGAAGCTGAAAGGCATCTGCAGAGCTCAGCAGGGCCTCTGCTGCCCTCCCACTACCTCCCTCTTCTCCCCAGGACTCGGTGCGGCTGCTGGCGGTGGAGGCATGTGTGAACATTGCTCAGCTACTGCCTCAGGAGGATCTGGAGGCCTTGGTGATGCCCACTCTGCGTCAGGCTGCTGAGGACAAGTCCTGGCGCGTCCGGTACATGGTGGCTGACAAGTTCACGGAGGTAGGTGAGGGACTGTTAACATTAGCATTATTCTATAGGTGGGGACACCAGTGCCCTCTGAAGGGCAGGGGCAAGGCACATGTAGGAACTGGGGTTTCTCGTTCAGGCAGTGAATCCTTGTGTGTTTGAGCAGTGAGCTTTCTGTTGGATCACACTGCATGTGCTGGCCCCAGATGGCGGTGTGTTTCTTACCTCATGGCACTATTTTTTTTGCAAAAGAAAAGACATAGCCAAAAGTATACTTGGTCAAGAGTGACACCACCAGGTAGGCAGAACTGGGACAAGGCTTCCGGTCTCTGAATCTCCCAGAACCATGCTTTTTGTGCACATGTTTGTCCCATACCATGTTTGTGAGCACCAGCTCCTTGTTCTGAGCAGCTGGGATTATAGGCATGAACCACCACACCCAGTCCTATGTATTTTAGTATAAATAAAAAGTGAGAACCACTGTATCATGTTTCTGGATAAGGTAATAGAAAACCCAACTCAGAATAACACAAACAATAAGGAAATTGATTGTTTTTAATGCACACAACACTAGAGAGAAGTGCCCTCCTCATCTCTTTCTGCTTCTGAGGAAGCCAAGGCTCAGAGAAGTGAACAGCTTTGCCTGGGGTCACACAGTGGTACTGAGATTAGATCTCGCTGCTGATCCAGGAGTTTCATTTCCTAGCCTTATTCTGGTTTCTTTCCTTGGCCTAATTAGCCCAATGTGACTGCCAGGCCTCTCACTGTCCTTACCCCCTCTTCTCCCTACCTGCAGCTCCAGAAAGCCGTGGGGCCTGAGATCACTAAGACAGACCTTGTACCTGCCTTCCAGAACCTTATGAAAGACTGTGAGGCCGAGGTGAGGGCTGCAGCCTCCCACAAGGTCAAAGGTTGGTGCTGGTGACTAGAACACAGCAAGGTGGGTGGGTACGTGGGTTGTCAGTCGTGGGACCAGAACTTCAGGTCTCATCTCCCCCTGCCTTCCTGTTCTTACCCACAGAGTTCTGTGAAAATCTCTCAGCTGACTGTCGGGAAAATGTGATCATGACCCAGATCTTGCCATGCATCAAGGTAACAGGGAGGTTGGTAGGAGGATCTGAGCCTGCCACAAAGAGGGGGTGGAGACTGGGCTTTGGAGACAGCCAAATGCAGACTAGGTTCTCAGCACTCTGTGAACACACAGCATGAAGTGCTTGAGCATCCTGACTACAAGCAGAATCTTGGCGATAAGTGAATCTGAGGCTTGACCTGGCCTTGGAGGAGGGAGTGTGTGCCTTTAGAGGCCACTAAATCACTTCATGCACAGAGCTTGGGATTGGGGTGGGGGCTTCTGAGAGCAGGAGTCATTTAACACTAAGAAGTGGGGACTTAAAAAGAACAATCATGTCCATGTCCCTAAACTGCCCATGCTGTGAGAGTGAGAAGGCCAGCAGGCTGTAGTCTAGGGGCTTCTTTGGAGTTGGCATCTGCTTGGCCGCTTGCCACTGCAGGGGTTGCCCTAACCCCAGTCTCCTCCTTTCTCCCTCTCAGGAACTGGTATCGGACGCCAACCAACATGTAAAGTCAGCCCTGGCCTCAGTCATCATGGGCCTGTCTCCCATCCTGGGCAAAGACAACACCATTGAGCACCTCTTGCCCCTCTTCCTAGCTCAGCTGAAAGATGAGGTAAGGGTGCCAGGAGGGATCTCAGCTCTGCGACTGAGATGGTGACTGGCAAGCTGATTTCCCTGATTGGCCAAGAAGATTTAGAATTTGAACAGACACCCACATCTTGGCTACGTTGATGGCTATAGGCACCACTTTCTATATGCCCACTCATTTTATCAGGCATTGCTTTGGGTGTCTTTAACTCCATGCTGGTCCTTTTTTTGGGTGTTGGGGATACAAGAAAACAAAGAACAAGAAAATTTTAATACACAGGAACCTTCAGTGACTGGAACTGGAGAGGAGCAGACCTATGGTTCTACTCAGATGCTTTTGTTGCTGTGTTGGGTGGGCCATGTTTCTTGGGGTTTAGGCGAAGATGATATAATAGAAACCCCCAAAATACAGTAGCTTAAATAGGCGGGATTATTTTTCTAACTTAATTCCAGCTACTCCTGTACTGGTGGGTTAGCCCTGCTGACCTTAACAATTTGGATCTGAGGCCACAATTGTAATTCTACCCCCATGAAGGGGTAGGCATCAGATGACAGGAGGCCTTCCTCCTAGAAACAAGGCTCATCGTATCTGCTGACACTCCGTATGCTAGAGCCAGTCATGTGACCGTAACTGTCTGTTGATGTGGCCTTGACCACTGAGGATGAGTAAGGGTACTGGGTGATAAAACTAGAAAGGTCATCAGGGGGACCATTGGGGAAGGAGTTTGGCTTTGAATCTGTGGACAAGTGGTTGAGCTGGGTAGATCTGTATGTTAGGAAGTAACCCTGCAACCACTGTGGGAAAGATGGGCAAGGTGCCAGTGGGTGCATGGGACCAAAGGAGGTAACTGCAAGGACCTAGAGGGGATAAGGCTGAACTGGTGGTGCTGTTTATTGTTTCCAGTGGAGTGCTTTCATTGTCTAGGTGTAGATTCTAGCATGAGCACATAAAATTAGCTCATTTTCCCAGACTAGAGCAAAAATGGCCACATAGGCCGTTCCTATTTCAGAAGTCTGGCTTCAGAGAAGGAAAGAATGGACCAGAAGCTCTTGTGTACAAGGGTCCATGTTCAATCCCCAGCACCACAACAATAACGAAGCAAGCATATGGGCGAATGAAGAAGCTTTTACTTGTAATTGAGGTTTTTTTTCTTGAGGAAAGTCGGTATTCAGTGTATCAATTCTGGGCTTAGGTCCCATAGAGCTATTAGTTCTTAGAGCCAAGTAAGCAGAACAGAAGGGTTATGTTAGGTTTCAGACTGCTGGTGGAGTCATTGTATTTCATACAAGTTTTGCTTTGGTAGAAGAATGCTGGGATGGCTCTCCCAATGTCGTGACAATCACCTTTTTTAGACATTGCATACAGGGTCCTAGGTAGGGAAAGCTGAGGAAGCTTGTGGTGATTACTTATTTTCTGCAATGTATGTGAACAGTGTTACACAAATGTTGAAGAACTGATGTGGAGGGACTGCTGAGAGGAATGTAACGGAAAAAGGAAACTGCACGTTGATGAGCACGGGACAGCCATGCCCCTCTCCTCAGTGACCTGGGCTTTAGGAGAAATGAACTCAGACGGTGGAAGGAGGGAAGCTGTGTTGCTTCTAATACATCTTTAGCTTTCAGACTCTAGAGCATACTGGCTGTCTTCCATTCCTGAGGGAGAATCTTGTTATTTTGATAAGGAGGGGTTTATATGCTTTTTCACAAAGGAATTGTTGGGGGACCTCTTGCGGAACTTCACTTTGGAATAAGGCCGTCTTGTCTTCCCAGTGATTGCCACTTCTCATTCAATGCTTCTGCGTCTAGGTATCTAAGATGACCCTCACGTTCTATGATTTACTAGAAAAACCTGTGAACTCAGAAAAGCTTTATATTCACATTTCCTGTTTCATACTGTGGAAGGGCACAGATTGAAATCAGCACAGGAAAAAGGTGTGTGGGAGAGAGACCAATTGTGTTTCCATATAACTTCTCCTAGGAGAGTTGTGTGGACAGCACTCACTTCTCCTAGCAACCCTGAGTGGCATCATATATGGAGTGTTGCCAACCAGGAGGTGCACCTGAGCCTTGGTGGTCATTGGTAGTTATTTGCACAGACCTGGATCACCTGCATGGCTAGCCTTACTCTGTTTCCAGCCCCTCCAGAGGTCAGGCTGACACTGAGTGGTAAAAGGGCCCAACATAAATCACAGACTTAACATAGACTTTTTGGTGTGGCTGGAGGTCCCAGGCAAACTTAAGATACTCTTACCAGGCAGGACATTTGAGGGCCTTGGAGGTTCCCTCCCAGGAGCTGATTGAGAGCCAGACTTTTGTTTGGAATGTGCAGAATGTGAGCAGCCTTAACCTGCTGAGTTAACCCTTTGTTGTAGACTCACATAGTTCATTGATTTAATTCATTGTTTCTTAACTCTTAACCGCTGGGGAAATATAGAGAGGAATAACTTTTGGTATGTGCCATCTAGGAATATATAATGTAGGACAGGTTCTAGTTGGGCTTCTGTTTTGAATAATAGGAAGCACTTGTGTTTATGTTTTTCTTGTAAGTTTTTTTGCATGCTGGGTGTGCATACATACTGGGAGTTAGGCTTATAATACAGTCAGAAGCAGTTCAAAATCTGTTTTAGTTCATCAGCAGACCTGCAGTGAGTGCCTACTATGGGCCACAGACTCTCCTGGGCACTGGTGACAAAAGGATGAATGAGACTATTCCCTGAGCCCTGGGAACTCAGACTAGCAGAGAATAGAAGTAAGAGGGAAGGTAAGAAAAGGGTCCCAAGGCAGAAGACCAAACTTTTTTTGGGTTTTTTGGTGGCACTGGGCTTCACTCTTGGAAAGTAGATACTCTTGAAGCACCTGCCTTCAGGCAGCTTGAACCACTCTGCCAGCCCAAATGTTAACCTTTTGTGCCAGATTTTGTGGCTCCCACTTCATTCTTCATAGCTTCAACCACTTTTTAAGGCTAGATGGATATTTCATGTTACTCGTTAGTATCCAGAAAGGAGCCCTGCCCTGAGGGCCCATAACTAACAGGCAGCAGAGCCTGAATTAGAATTATGTCTGCATTAACCTTTTTACTCCCACAATGATAGGTCTTCCTTGTAATTCCTACAAGTTCTTTCAAAATGGCTAAATATGTGTAGTGATGCAATTTTTAAGATTTAACAGCCAGGTACTAGTGGCTCATGCCTATAATCCTAGCTACTTAGGAGGCAGAGATCAGGAGGATTAAGGTTTGAAGTTAGCTCTGGGCAAATAGTTCACAAGTCCTTATCTCAAATACCCAACACAAAAAAGGGCTGGCAGAGTGGCTAAAGTGGTAGAACGCCTGCCTAGCAAGTGTGAGACCCCAAGTTCAAGTCCTAGTACTGCCAAAAAAAAAAAAAACAAGCTGCTTTGCTTAATGACCCACGCTGCTTGTTTTGTGTGTGTGTGTGCCTTTAATGTGTTCCCAGGGCCAGGAGGTGGGCTTAGGCAGTGCACCCTGAGGAGGTGGTGGTGATATGGAATTGCTGCCATTGGGCTCCTTGTGCCCTGTCCTGGGTTGCTGAATGTGGTACATTCTCTCAGAACCCTCCTGTCCTCTCCCTAGTGCCCTGAGGTGCGGCTGAACATCATCTCCAACCTGGACTGTGTGAACGAGGTGATCGGCATTCGGCAGCTCTCTCAGTCACTGCTCCCGGCCATTGTGGAGCTGGCTGAGGATGCCAAGTGGCGAGTGCGGCTGGCCATCATTGAGTACATGCCCTTGCTGGCTGGACAGCTGGTGAGTGGGTAGGCCTGGGGGCTAGGCAGTGCTGCTCCAGGAGCTACACTGCCAGGGTCTGGTTATGGTGCAATGTCCAGGGCTGTGATAATATGACTAGGGGGTTGGAAGCCTGGTATAGTTGTGATACTACCTAAGGGTTTGAAGGAAGTGAATCAGGAAACAGGTCCTTAGAAGGTAGGTAGAGTTCAATTAGAGGGAGGAGGGGAAGGGGTAGCACAGCTGAGAGTAAGAAGGATCCAGTTTCTTCAGGGTGGGTGCCCATGATCCACTTCTCCTTGTATACTCTGCCTTGAGCCCTTACTCCTTTTTTCTTGCAGGGAGTGGAATTCTTTGATGAGAAACTCAATTCCTTGTGCATGGCCTGGCTGGTGGATCATGGTGAGTACCTCCAGAAGGACAGACGGGAGAGGTGTCAGCTCCAAGAAAGATGGACACACGGACTGGGGCCATTCCCCCATCTGTGGGATGCTCACATGGACGCATTTCCTTGCTGGTTATAGAAGTGTTGACTGGGATGAGGACCTAGCAGATCACCCAGGGACTGCCTAATATGGAGATAAAGGCCTACCAAGCAGACAGATCTGGGTTTGCATTCTCCCTACCCTCCCATCTGAGCAGATAGAACTGGGTTTGAATCCCCTTATTCTTCTGCCTTGGCCTTTGAAGCTTAAATAAGTCACTTACTATTTTTCTGCCCTGTACTCATTCATGAGACTTCTTATTCCAATCTTTCTAGACCATTGTGAAATATGCTCATTGCTTTTATTAAGAGTGGTAAAAACATAAAAGTTAATGTTTATCTTATCAGGCACTATTTGTCAGTGCTAAATAGTTTACTTGGGCAAATGACTTCTCAGAGCCATAGTTGCCCTTCTGTATAATGACACAAATAATGGAGCCTACCTGTTGGAGTGGTAAGAAGGTGCTGTACGAGGGGAAGACCCTAAATTAAGCATAGTGACCGGCTTTTTTTTTTTCTTTTTGGCTGTTGATTGGCTCCATGTGACTTGGCAACAGGGTTACTCAGTAAGCAGTAGCAAGTGTGACCATTACTTCCTTCTGTCCTCTACCCTCGAATCACCTCCCCTCTCACCCTTACCTGACTGCAGTCTATGCTATCCGTGAGGCGGCCACCAGCAACCTGAAGAAGCTGGTAGAGAAGTTCGGGAAGGAGTGGGCCCATGCCACTATCATCCCCAAGGTCTTGGCCATGTCTGGGGACCCCAACTACCTTCACCGAATGACTACGCTCTTCTGCATCAACGTGAGTATCCCGCCTGCCTGGGACCCAACCCTGGCCATGGCCTTAGGTCTCCAGGGTTTAGGTCATAGAGCCTCTGCAGGCAGGGACTTGCATGGTGAGCGATCCAGGGCTGGGGAGGCTTGACTTGTTTGAGCAGTGGTCTTCAAAGCATTCTGGGCACTTTCTTGTACCCTGTAGAGTGGGTGAACATATCTATTTATGATGCAGTGGCTGAGTGTGCAGGCTACAATTGAATCTAGGTTTAAATTTAGCTCTGTCACACATTAGTTCTGAACCTTGGAGAGATTACCTAAGCATTTAAAGGTGCTTTTTTCTCATCTGTAAAGGATTCATGCTGGTCCTCAGAGTACCTCATTCATTAGGTTGTGAAGCTTAACCTGGTTATAAGTGCAAAAGACTTAGAACAGTTAGGATATGTATAGGAAGTACACATGTCTGTTGATTTTCATTATTGTAATCATGTCATGTATTACAGTACTTAGCTATAAATCATATACAGAGCTAGAAACTACAGGTTGGGATTTAGAAATACATACAACTGAGTACTCTGATAATTTCTTCCCATGCTACAGTTTGAAGACCACTGCCTTACAGAGGGATCTTGGGTTGAGTTAGGAATGAAGACCTTTCTTTAAGAGATGCAGGAAGTTTGAGGGCAGAGAACATTACATCCCAGATTGGAGATGTATGGTCTTCAGGGGATTGGGAGCTGTAGGGGGTAAACTTCCTCTAAGGTGGAACTTCTGGACCTTGAGCCTCCTGTGTTGCCCAGTCTGCCCCTCGGGCCCGATAATCACTATGTGGCCTGGTCAGAAGAAGAGGGACATAGAATTCAGTAGTGAACTTTGCATAATCCATGCCCTTGCCACTCACTGGCCTCTTAGGTCCTCTCCGAAGTTTGCGGACAGGACATCACCACCAAGCACATGCTGCCCACAGTTCTGCGTATGGCTGGGGACCCGGTCGCCAATGTCCGCTTCAATGTGGCTAAGTCCCTACAGAAGATAGGACCCATCCTTGACAACAGGTGAGGGTTGAGTTCTCCTTCATACACTAGCTAGGGCTTCTTGTGGATATTTTAATGTTTGCCTCTTCAAAATGGAGCCCAGGGCTTGAGGCCCAGCACTGTTCTCTGCTGGTTCTGTGGTCTTAGCCTGTCCCTTCCCCTTCTTAACTGTACATGAGAATTCATGTGTGTATGCCCGCACAGAATGGAAGGAGAGGGGAGAGAAGGTGTTAGTTTTGTATACTAGCAACAAATCATTAGAAAATGAAATTATCTAGTATTCTATATATGTAGTGTATATGTGTAACAAAATGCTGAACATTTTTAGCAATCAGGAAAATGCAGATTAGAACCCAGTGAGGTATTGTTGCACACTTCTCAGCTGGCTACACAATGGTGCTGGTGTGGGGTCTAGGCAAGGGTGTAGAGTAGGTGGGACACCTCACTTCCAGCAGGTAAGGCTTAAAGGTCGCTGAGCACTCTGAAAACTGGTGGGATGTAGTGAAGCCAGTTATGTACTTTGAGTCAGCCCTTGCACTCCTGGGTTCTATAGCCCAGAGAGATGAATGCTCATTTCTGTCAAAAACGTGTATGGTAGCTTTATGTGTAGTAGCCATTAGTCAGAAACAATCCACATGCCTCTCCACAGTGGATGGATAAATTGTGGTTTATTCTTATGATAGAAAACTGTTCAGAAATGAGAAAAGAGACTCCTGCTCTAAGCAGCAGCATGAGTGATTCACAGACATCATACTGAGGGAGAGACCAGACCCAAAAACAGGGAAACCAGCTGGGCACTGGTGGCTCATGCCTGTAATCCCAACTACTCAGGAGACAGAGATAGGATGATTGTGGTTTGAAGCCAGCCCAGGCAAATAGTTCATGAGACCCAATCTTGAAAAAACCCTTCACAAAAAAAGGGCTGGTGGAGTAGCTCAAGGTATAGACCCTGAGTTCAAAACCCAGTCTGAAAAAAAAAACAAAAAAACAAAAAAACAGGTGAACCAGCTCTTGGTGGCACATGCCTATAATCCCAGCACTCCAGGAGGCTTGAGAGTTAGGCTAGCCTGGACTGCATTGCAAATCCAGGACCAAGAACTTCCCCTTCAGTCTCTTGCCACACCTGTTGGTTCTTACGAGTTAGGGCATGTCTTTCTCCTGGTCCAAGCTTCACATGGACAAGAATCAGCAGTTATGAATGTACATCTGGATTTCTACCTACTACACAGTAGGCCTCAGTGATGTACATTCAGTCAGTAAAAGAATCTGTTTGCTCAGCCTCAGAGAATTGTGGACTCTATGCTTCCATGGTCTGCAATCCCAGACTGCACTTACTTTCCTGTTCTGGGCCACAGAGACGGCTATGTCCTTGTTTTTCATACTCTAACCTTCAAAGTAATTATTACCTGGGCCTCGGAGACTTCTAATTTGTGTGTGTATGTGTGTGTCCCCTGCACTCTGGAGGATCCCCCCACACTTTGTGTCTCTTTATACCTCCTTGCTCAGGAGCCCTCCACCTGCCTGTGGTCCCCAGCCCAGCCTGGTTCACCCTCTCTTTTCCCTTCTCTTTCCAGCACCTTGCAGAGTGAAGTCAAGCCCATCCTGGAAAAGCTGACACAGGACCAGGATGTGGATGTCAAGTACTTTGCCCAGGAGGCTCTGACTGGTGAGGCCTTGAGAACCTAGAGTACCCAGCAGAAGGGTGGTCTGCAAGGCCTCGGGGGCTCCTGGGAAGGGGCTGGTGATATAGCACTATGTGGTTCTGAGTCCTACCTGTTCCTGTTTCCCCAGTTCTGTCTCTTGCCTGATGCTGGAAGAAGAGCCAACACCGGCCTCTGGTGTCCACCCTCCCACCCACTCCCACCAAGTACCTCCCTTGGGGAGATAGTGGGGGGGCCACTGACTGTCACTCCCTGTGCATGGTCTGACCCCAGGCCCCTTCCCCTAGCACGGTTCTTCTCTCCAGCCTGGGAAGACTTCTCACTGCCCACCTCCCGAGGGACTGGGGGAGCACAAGGTGGGGCAGGGCAGCAACCAGGAGGAATGGGCTGCTCTTGCCCACCAAGTTGGGGGAGAGAAGCAAGCATCCTAGGTCACTGGCTCCTGCTGCTGTAATGGGACCCCCTCCCCCACATACTTAATCCACCTCCTTTTTTCCCATCCCTGTTCCTTCCCTCCTCTGGTGGTTTATTTGTGTCAACTGTGCCGTTTTTATTTTATTCTTTTCCCCCCTATTTTCACAGAGAAATAAAGGTCTAGAAATAGTTGGTCCTCTGTTCTTAGTCTTCAACATGGAGGAGGGGGCACCATCTCAATGCTACAGTGTCTGGCCTTCTCTCTGGGGGGAACTAGTCTAGCAGGAGAGCAGCTTGCTGCAGAGTAGAGGCTCACCAAGGCATCTCAGGCCATGGAGTCCCCTGGTGAAGTTCAGTTTTAGACCCTGGCAGAGTAGTCAGTTTTGTGCTTTGTACATTGGGGTGGCAATTTTGGTTGGATCACAGGGTTGTGTGTGAGTCCTGGCTGAATTAGGAAGTGTGAAGTCCTTCGTGACACATGATATGCAATCAATTCAGGGCTAGCTGTTGATTTTCCACACACCCCCTGCAGGTCAGGCCCTATGTGCTGGTAACACTTGGGTTTTGACCATGTCTTCAAGGAGTCTCAGAATAATCAGGGCTGGGCTGAGTGTTGTGGGGAACACCTATAACCCAGCTACTCAGGAGGTGGAGATCAGGAAGATTAAGGTTCAAGGCCAGCCTGGGAAAAAAGTAAGTGAGGCTCCATCTCAACAAACAAGTGAAGTGTAGTGGTTCATGCTTGTAATCCCACCTTCTTAGGAGATGTAGGTAGGCGGATAGAAAACTGAGGCTAGCCCGAGCCAAAAAACTGACAAGAAATGTGAGTCCCTATCTGAAAAACAACTAAAAGCAAAAAGGTCTGAAGCACTCAGGTGGCCACAGGCTCCGAGTACAAACCCCAGTATTGCCAAAACCAAGAAAAAACAATCCAGGCTACAGCAACAATTGGCTAAGGGAGCTTCATTCGGTGTGGTGGTGTGACTAAATCTTGCCAATGAGATGTGACCAGAAGTGGTGTGTGCAGCTTCTAGGAACATTTTCCCTCTTTGTGCTCTAGAATGTAAAGCAGATGGCTGGAGTAGGGGCAGCCATCTCAGGCCAGCAAATGATTTTGGGAGTATAGGCCAGGCAGGACAGAAGAACAAGACAAGAGCCTGGGTCCATCATGCTATGAGCAACCAGCCAAGTTTGGTCTCCTTTGGAAGTCTAAACTCTGTGACTGGGATCTCATCACTTGAAGGTCACCCAAACTATAAATGATGCAGCAAGGGACCTAAAGAGCCCTGGAGAAAGGAGAAAGACTTAGGGACAGTGTACATGTATGAAAGGGTTTCAGAGGCAATGACAGCTCAGCGACATGTGGCTCAGCTAAGTGGAAGGGAAATATGGCACTAGGTGATAGTGGTTTCACCAGCCCTGCCCCTGTGTGACAGCCCCTTCTGTTTGTTAGACCCTGTTGGGCTCTGGGGGGTGAGGTTGAAAGAGACCGAAAGCATCTTCAGTCTTCACTGTGTGTGCCCTAGGATGGAAAGACTTGGTTGAGAACCAAGGCTCTGCAAGTGACATCGTATATATCTGAACACACAGAAGTCTGGCTTAAATTCAGACCTTAACCCGCCCAGCTAATGCAAGGACTTCAGAATCCTGATAACCAGAATAACCAGACAGTCTGCAGCTGCAGCCTGGGCATCCCTAAGGCTTATTAGGAATGTAGGATATCTGGTCCCAGCCTCGCCCTATTACTTTGGGTCTGTGAGTCGTGGTAGAGTCAAACTGCACAATCCAGGAAATGATGAGAAAGAAGCTGCGATCCCATCATCTAATCCCCTTCAAGGGGTCACCCCCCTACTCTGCCCATGCCTACATTCTTCAAAGAGGCCCCTCCTGTTGAAGGCTTCATTTCCCAGCAGTGCTACCAAGGCTTCAACACATGACTTGAGGAATGTTTAAAATCCAAACCCTAATTTGCAGTGATAGTATGGAGGTTAGGAGAGTCTATGGGCATGGGGAATAGAGAGTGCAGGGGAAGAAAGGAGAGTGGATAGAAGGCAAATTTGTGTCAAGTGTAGCAGAGCGGTATGGTCCATTACCAGGATTGAGGGCACGGGGTGGGGGGAAGGGGGTAGTGGGTGTGAAGAAGTTAAACTAAGGGGATGGGAACTATACAAGGGTATAGGACTTTTTTTTTTTTTTTTTTAGAATGAAAGGAGAAATGGGGTTGGGGAGTTACTGGGCATAGTAAGGGCCAGCATTTGGGAATGATTAGATGAGTGACTATATGAGAGATTTAGCAACAGGGTGTGCTGGGTTAAGGGACATGTGTGGGGAAGGCAGATCTTGGAAGGAGATAGTAGTCCAAGGCAGATTAAGGGTGTGGGAGTAGGTGACAAAAGTAGGGGAAGATAAGATGCCTGGCAAAGAGCCAGAAAGGACACAGGACAAAGGAGGATTAGACAGGACAGTGGGCATGAGTAAGCCAAAGAACCCCAGAGAAAGTGTCCGGGATTACAGAGTTGGATGGACTGGTTTTGTGGACTAGTTGATGCCTGATAGTGGATGGTGGGCATTTGCTATTGTGAGGCATAGAAGACTTGAGGAATGGGATGGAGATTCTGAGATTGGGAATGGATGCTGGACAAGAGGAAGTGGAATGTGCAGGTGTAATAAAAGTTGAAGAGGAACAGACTGAAATCCTAGAATAGTAGTCACAGAGTGATAGACATCAAAAAGTTTACAGGACAACAGAGGTCAAGGCCATAATATAGAACACAGGTTCACACTATTACTGATTAGGGTCCTTATTGATCACCCTTGCTCCCACAAGCTGCTCCAGGAACAGGCTCAGGGATGCCTGCCATGAGATTGGAGACTAGATGCTACTGTTCTAAGTGCTGAAACTGACCTAAATTGAATGCAGTTTAACTTCCATTCTGTCTCTTAGAAGTTGCAATCCTTGCTTGGGAAAGACTCCAGAGTCAGAATATTTTAGCTTAGACAGGTACTGTCAGTGCAACAGTTCAGGTGAGGAGACCGATTCTGAAAAGACTTAATTCTGATGCTTGTACTCTACCATCTTCTCAGAATCCCTTTCCATTAGACATTTCTGATGCCAAGACTAATTACCTTGACTGTGGTGAAGTGGAGTTGTCAATATGAAAAAGAACCAGGAGACAGAATGATCAGGAAACTTTAAAGAGGTCAGTCTGAGGATGAGGTTATGTTTACTGGTTAACAGGTGTAAGGCCATGGCGAATGCTGAAAATAAAAACAGCCACATCCATAGTATCTTCAGAATCAGTTTATTAGCTTGATGGAGAAAAAAAGGACTGAAATTGCTGCCCACCCATAAATTGGTTCTGAATGGGTGGGTGATTCTAAAATTTTAATGTATAAATAGTTACTTTTAGAAGTGGAAAAACATCTCTGAGATGAGAAAAGAATTGTTTGTTGTTCGTTTGGGTTTTTTTTTTGTTTTTGTTTTTGAGATGTGTATTGAACCCAAGGATTCACTTATCAAAGTAGGTGCTCTACCACTGAAATATAACTGCAGCTCAAGTAAAACAATTTTTTAAATTAGCGTATATTAATTGTACAAAATAACGGGCTTCAAGCTGGGTATGGTGATGCAGGCCTATTTTCCCAGCACTTGGGAAGCGGAGGTAGGGAGAGTCTGAGTTTCATGCTAGCTTGTGCTACAGAGCAAGTTCAAGACCAGCCTGGGCTATAACAGTGAGACCCTGCCTCAAAAGACAGAAACAAAAGTGAATAACAAAGGGTTTCATTATGACACTTACTACATGTGTCATATTCATCCTCCCTATTCCTCTCATTCCCTCTATCCTCCCGCTGATCTTCTTCCACTTCCCAGATAGTCCCCATTTCACATTCATGGTTTTTTCAAAATCTAAATTTCAAATATGAGAAAACATAATACTTGTTTTCCTGAGTCTGTCTTACTTCTCTTCCCACTTATGTATGATGAACATTTCATTCCTTATGAACAGTAATTCTTAAATAGAATGAAAAATGAAATAGTGTCAATATAGATGTTATATTAAAAATTAAGAGCTCTTGGTTAGAGTGAAATTCATATAAAAATTTAATAGAGCTGGTTGGATTTTCTAAATTTATGTACATCTGCATAAACCCATAGAACTGTAACCCAACACTTTGACTGCTACACATACACCCAACAGAAATCCCTACATGTATATCTAAACATGGTAGAGTTTACATACCAAGACTGCTGTTCACAAACTGAAAGTCACTCATGTACATCAGGAGAGTCGTGATTATGTTAACTGTTAAATACTCGCACAGTGGAATTCTACCAATAACAGCATGAATGCAGATAAATTAAAACATGGAATTTTGAAAATCAAACACTAAAAAGTTAACATATCTATGACTTTACAAGGCTATGTGTTTGTGTGTGTGTTGAGAACATTTAAGGTCTCGCCTACAAAATTTCAAGTATACCATACTGTATTTGCAGTTTCTATGCTGCACATAGATCCCCAGAACTTATGGTACCTAAGTGTTTATACCCTTAGACTGACCTCTTCCCATTTTCCTCATTGCTCAGCTCTTGGTAACCTCCATCATACTCTACATTTCTGTGCATTTGATTTTTTTTTTTAAAGATTCCACATGTAAGTGAGATCATGAAGTATCTTACTCTGACATGTCATTTGGCATATTGTGCTAAGGTCCATTTATGTCATAAAATGGTGGCAGTGTTTTACTCTTCAGAAGCCAAATAGGCAGTGCCAATGGCTCATGTATGTAATCCTAGCTAATCTGGAGGCAGAGATCAGGAAGATCACAGTTCAAAGCCAGGCCTGGGCAAAAAGTTCCTGAGACTCAATCTCAAAAAAGCCCATCCCCAAAAAAGGGCTGGTGGAGTGGCTCAGGTGGTCAGGTGGTAAAAGCAACTGTCTAGCAAACATGAGGCCTTGAGTTCAAACACCAGTGCTAATAATAAATAAATAAATAAAATTCCAGTATAATTGTTCCTATTGGCTCTTGTGGGTAGTGCTGAACTGATAATGGAAATGCAGATATCTCTTTGAGGTACTTAATTCCGTCCCTTGAATATATATGCCCAGAATGAGAGTCCTGCAGCATACATTAGGGTTTTTTTTCCTACTTTTTAATTAGTGTATATTAGTTGTGAAATACAAATATTTTCAA